ATTTTGGGAGCAGGCCAGAAATCTTGGACTGTCACGATAGATATAAACAGGGAGAAAGGACTAGAAACCAGAGATGTTTAGAAGGGCTCAAGGTCACTCTTCAGGAGAAACCAGAGGGTCCGAGGAGACCAGATACCCTGAGGTATTAGCTTCCTAGGGCCGTCAGAACAAAGGACTAACAACCTTCAAACAGCAGAAATATATCGCCTCACAGTCCTGGAGGCTAGAAATCTAAAATCGAGGTGTTGGCAGGCTGTGCTCTCTCTGAGGACTCGAGGGGAAAATCTGTTCCGTGCCTTTCCCTCCACTGTGGATGCTGCCAGCAGCCCTTGGCATTCCTTCACTTGTAGATGCCTCTTACATCCAGGCCTCTGTCAGCACCCAGGCCCTCCCTGTGTTTCTGTGCTTGACATCTGCTCTGTGTGTGTTTGTGTCTCTGTTTTCTCTTCTTATGGAGACGCCAATCATATTGAGTTAGGGGCCCACTCCACTCCAGCATGGCCTCATCTTCACTAATTCATCTGCAACCACCTCCTTTACAAAAAAGGTCAGAGGCTGAGGTTCTAGGAAAGACACAGAGCTGGGTGATGCTGTTCAACCTAGCATACCTGAGTTCCCTCACTGACCCATTATTCTCCATCCTATTTCTATTTTACCCTCCACATCTGCTTCTTCTTGTCCCCCCACCCCACCCAGTAGTATTTGACCATTGAGATTCTCTTCTATTAACCATTTCTTGGATCCAATTTCTTTATGCATATCTTTTCTTTTTCACTTGGGGATTTCCAATACCATCCACTTTAAGGCACAAGAATAGATCTTGCACAACCAGAGAGATGAAAATAGATGTGCTCTATATGTGAAAAATGAATTGTAATTCATTCTGCTAACATATATAACAAATTAAAATTTAAAAACAGAATAGATCTGAATGCATTGCTACTACTGAATGGTCTCTTACGGTTATAATTCTAAAAGTTAAAATATCTCTTGACATCCATTCCCAGACAACTGGTACAATAACTTTTACATGGACAAACTCAAGCAAGCCATCCACGACCCCACATCTGTTGTGTAGAAATGCTTCCCCTGTGACCTATTTTTCATTACGTACAGCTTTGTATCGTCATTTAGCTTTTTAAGGGCTGTGTCATTGCCTCTCCAGCTATACTGTGAGTCCTTTGTGTCTTTGCATTCTCCCTTAGTACTTTGCACGTGGCCAGCGTTCAACGCTAAGAGGAAATCAATAAAAAAAAAAATTGCATATGGTGATGTGGCTGAGGTGTCCTTATCCTGACAGCATTTTCTAATCACTAGCTGGATGCCTTTTTTCTAACTTTTATTTGTCCTCGGTGAATCTCATCAAATTCCTTCTTCCTGTTGGGCATCTCAAACCAACACATGGAGAAGACAGGTGGCTCTCCAAGGGAGCCTGAATTTCCTTCCAGCTGATCTCCCAGCTAATGGGCATAGAGGAAATTTCCCAAACTGGAAATGAGGAGGCCAGATTCAGAGGAAGCAGCCATCTATAAAAATGCCCGTTTCTCCTGGTCTGCCTAGTGCTAGGTGTGGTGCAAGGACTTTACAGGGCCCCACTACATCTCAGTATAAGCCAAGGAGGTAGATACTTAAATTTCCAGAGTCCACAAGACATCTGATTGCCCAAGGCCACAGAGCTGTAACATTCTGGAATTGGAGTGCAGGTCTGGCTGCCTCCAAAGTCCATTCTTTTTTTTCTCCCCCCAACTTTATAATTTTGCCTTCTACTCTGGTCCCCTCATTTGATGTCTAAACCAAGACCTGGGGAAAAATGCAAGCTATCTGCAAAACACAAAAGTGTTTGTGTTCTTCCTCAAACTCACTTGTTGAAGTCTAACCTCCCATGTGACAATCTGAGGAGGCGTGGGCCTTAGAGGTGATTGGTTTATGAGCAGAATTAATGTTCTTACCAGAGACCCAGAGAGTGCCCTTACTCCTCTACTATGGAGGACAGAGCAAGAAGATGGCCCTCTCTGAACCGGGAAGCGAGCCCTCGCTAGACACCGAATCTGTTGGTGCCTTGATCTTCAACTTCCCAGGTCCCAGCACTGTGAGAAATAAATGCACAGTAGGTGTAGGCCACACAGTCTATAGGATTTTTATTAATAGTCCTAATGGACTAAGACAGAAATTGGGGGTGGGAGTGGGATGGTGATCCAACAAATACCTAAAAATGAGAGAGTGACTTCAGAACGGGACGATGAAGAGAGGCTGGAAGTTTAGAGGCATTTTTTTTTGCTGAGGATGGACCTTCCAGGTGATTGTGGTGAATGCTGAGAAAGAAAAGAGATGAGCTGCGGACAGAAAGCCTCCATTTCCTTCAGCAATATCTGAGTAATCCTGAAAGTGATGTAGGTAGAAAGAAGGATGGAGAGGCCATTCTAAGGATGTTTCAGATGGAAACGAGGAATGTGCCATTGGAAA